GGTTACATTTTAGTTTTGAGTTTCTTATTTTATAATTTCTATTATATTAAACTATAAATAAAAAATATTAATTATTTAAGTGAGACTTAAGTTTATGCCAAAAGATGATATAAAATTATAGCTAATCATTTTTTTTGGTTACATTTTAGTTTTGAGTTTTTTATTTTATAATTTTGATTATATTAAACTGTAAAACAAGAATTATAAATAAAGATAAAGTTTTTAATATTAATAAATCTATTTTTATTTAGATTATGTAGTTTAATATAATTTAAATTATAAAATATTTTTTTAATTGTTAAAAGAAAAATATTTTACAATAATTGCACAATACTAACTAAATTAAGGCGACATCTTAACGTTAGGAGAAAAGCCTCTATCTAATAATTAATGATTCCACAATCCCTAATAATGGATTTTTTAAAATAAAAAAATTAAATTTATTATTAAATATATATTATTTTATAAATTAAATTTAAACTTAAATTTTAAAATTAACAATTAAATAAATTACTTTTTTTAAAATACGTTAATTAATATAAAATGTATCATTAAAATCAAGAAAAGAAGAATAAGGCTGAGGTGTGTAAAAGATAACCTTGAGATAACTTGAAAAGAAATTAAAAAAAAAAAAGGGGGCAGATTTTTTTATGCGATGTGTCCTAAAATTAAACTTTGATAAGCATAAAAAAAGATGTGGACAAGAATAAGGTCCGACTTATCCTTACTAAGCCCAACACAAAATTTGCCCGACAAACACTGGGTTGGGCTCCATCAATTTTGGATTCAAACAATTCCAGGCTGTCGGGTACCCACATACATCCGAAAAGCTTGAATCCGATCCGAACAAAGGTTCAAAACGACCACGTTTCGAGTTCGTTGCTTCCACCACCTTCCTTCTGTGTCAGCATTTCTCCGTTTATCCCAAACGTCAATTCTTCAACGAATCCCCATAGATCAGCGAAGATCATTCTCCATTTCTCTAGATGGAAGCGGAACCCATACCAAACGGAACCGCCGCGGCAACAACCACCGCAACCGTCACTACCACGGCCTCAGCCCCCGCCAACACTGTACCTGCCTCCAAACTAAGCCAACTGACGGAATCGCTAAAGTTAGAGCACCAGCTGGTTCGCGTCCCCTTCGAGCACTACAAGAAAACGATCCGAGCTAATCACCGTGCCGTCGAGAAGGAGGTGTCTGCTGTAATTTCCGGCGTTGCTGATGTCGCCGACTCTGCTGACCTCTCTAAGGACGATGCCGTTTCCCATCTCAGTTCCCTTGTTTCCCGATTGCAAGGCCTCAAACGCAAGGTAATAAATGAGAAAGTAAGAAGGCGATATGTTCTTTCCAGTGGATGAGAAAAATTAAGTGTTTTTTTAGTCATGTGGGCATAATTCAATGATTTAGATTGATACTGGTATTGATCTTGCAATTTCATCCAGACATTATTTTATTTATCATGGGGAGGAAAATGATCTTGGGAAGGTGGATAATTTTCTTTCTCACCTAGTTTGATGATAGTGTTTTGAATTGATTCTAATCATCATTTTTTTTTTGCTTTTGAATGATTAAACAATGTAGTTCTATAGTTTTGGTGTATTGATTTGAGGAAATTTTTATGGTTTCTTGGGCTCTTTATTGTACAACATTGATGCAATAGCCACTGTAAGTTAATATCTATTAATTGCTACATACTTTTATCGTTCAGCTGGAAGAGGGAAGCCGAACAGAGAACTTGCAAGCACAGAGGTGTCGAGCTAGGTTGGACCACTTAGAATCAGTTGATGCAGATAACCTTTCAGAGTGGAATAACATTCGTGTGAAGCGCATACTTGTGGACTACATGTTGCGTATGTCATATTATAATACTGCAGTGAAGCTGTCAGAAAGCAGCAACATACAGGTTGGGGTGCTTCTTCAATGTTTCTAGAATGGATAGGCACTTTTGATCCCTTTGGAGAAACTTCTTTTTTTGTTTCATTAACATTTATTTCCACACATTTGAAAAATTGATGAGAGCTCTTGACACCCAACTGCAGAAACTTACTGCTTGTTTTAATCAAACAATTACAAGTAGTTTTATGTCAAGAATTTTAGCACCACTTAACATCCCTCCTAGGATTGAATTTTGATAAAACTGTGATTGGGTAATGACTTTCAATTTTTTGAAAGAAATATGTCTAATTGATTTTTATATGCCAGGATCTTGTTGACATTGATGTTTTCCAAGAAGCAAAGAAAGTAATTGATGCTCTTAGGAATAAGGAGGTAGCTCCTGCCCTTGCCTGGTGTGCTGAGAACAAATCTAGGTTGAAGAAGTCCAAGGTATACAATATTTTTAGTCATGGTGCATTAATGAATTGTGAGGCTTAGAGCTGCAACTTTTTGAGATGGCTGTTTGAAGTTTTCACAGTGTTTTCACACTCTATGCTCTTAGTTTTTGCAGTGGCCACATGGCCAAAAAATCATATTAGAGTAGTTTTAGTAACTTTTGGTGTTCTTTTAATCTTGTTGATGCAGAGCAAATTTGAGTTCCAGTTGAGACTTCAAGAGTTTATAGAGTTAGTAAGAGCTGAAAACAATTTGCATGCTATTTCATATGCTCGGAAACACCTTGCACCATGGGGAGCAACTCATATGAAGGAATTGCAGCGAGTCATGGCTACATTGGCATTTAAAAGTAACACTGAATGTACAAAGTACAAGGTAAAGTTCACCTCTCATGAATCAACCATGAACTACTTGAATTGACTTGCTTTTCTTTATACCAAGTCAAATGACTAGTGACATTATATCTGTCTCTTCTCTTTTCTATTCTTTTTATTTTTGGCCAGTAACATTGCCAATTCTATTCAGATGGTTTAACTTTGTCATGTACCCTCCAAGGTAACTAAAAGGGACCTGACTTGTTACATGTTCAATGTGCTTGTTGATAATTTTTACTAGAT